CAGAGGGAGCCCTGCAGGGAGCGAGCAAACGGGTTTACTGGAAGCATCAGCTTCCGCAGGGACCAACATTGTCTGCTTATCTCCTCAGCCCCGGTGTAGCTGCTGTTGGGCTGATGCAACTCACAAGGCTGGAGCCTTTTCCTGCCAGATTAGGGTCTGCAACCTGTCCAACGCCTGTGATTTGTCTAAACACATACGCCGCCCCTGCTGAGGTCTGTGTGGAGCTTTTGGACGCATAGCCTCATTGCTGAGACTCTTCAAATGTTATTTGTCGTACAGGCCTCCTGATGGAGCCAAGCCTTTGTAGGGAGGCCTGGCGATCAGCCCTGCGGTGGGGCTGACAGGGCCTGCTCGGGAGCCCCCAAGAAGCATGAGCATGGGCCCCTCTGGGCCATAGGCGTCCGTAAAGATCAGGTAACACAGGAAGGAGCACCTGATGGTGATGAGGAGGGTAAGGGGAGAACCCAAGGGGGCAGCTGCCCCCACTGAGGGATTAGCTACTCCGAGGATCCGCCACAGCTTCCTACCCGCCTTCGACTACTCTGTATCTAGGAAAAAGGGGCCATTCTTCTCCTTTGAGTAGCATTTTTTTCTGTTTATATTCATGACCTATATTCATTTTAATGTATTTAGATGAAACAAAAGAAAAGAGATGAAAATAAAAAGCATACATAACCTACCATCACAATCAATTATTAAATGTCTTGATATGTGTTTCATAGTGTTATATGTATGTATGTATGCATGCATGCATGCATGTATGTATGTATATAGGCATGTAGACAATTGTGTGTATATATGTGTATACAGTAGTCCCCCTTATCCACAGGACACCCCAGTGGATACCTGAAACTGCAGATAGTACTGAACCTTATATATATTACGTTTTTTCATACGTTCATATCTTTTCACTTAAAGGAGGCACTTTACAGCATCTCTTTGGCATGTTTGAATTACCAGCATCACTCTCTTGAGCTTTGGGGCCATTATCAAGTAAAATAAGGGTGACTTGAACACGAGCACTGTGATACCATGACAGTCAATCTGATAACCCAGACAGCTACTAAGTGATGAATGGGCAGGTAGCGTATACAGCACGGAGATGCCGGACAAAGGGATGTTTCACGTCCTGGGCTGGACGCAGCAGGACAGCAAGAGATTTCATCACACGACTCAGAACAGCGCACAATTTAAAACTAACGAATTGTTTATTTCTGGAATTTTCCATTTAATGTTTTCAGACTACCATTGACCATGCATAACTGAAACCACGGAAAGTGAAACCATGGATAAGGAAGGGACCACTGTATATATTTGCTTGTACATCAAAATTAATATATTGAACATATTATTTTATAACTTGCTCCTGTCACTTGAATATATATAGTGAAAATGTCATGAAATATATTTCTGGAACCTGATATCTGATGACTCCATTCCAGCATTGACTTCATCAGTCCCTTTTGCTGGACATTCAGGATGTTTTCAGTTTTTCATTCTCTTGAACACCCTTGCAGGTCATTTTTTCCCTGTCTTTGGTTATTTTCCTAAGTCAATTCCCAGAAGTAAAATTATCTGTTGGAAGAATGTGCACATTTAAGGCTTTAGATATATATTGTCAAATTATCTTGCAGGAAACATGTGCTCACACACATTTTCACTGCTAATTTCTGTCAATACCTTTACACCTAGTGGTGCCCTGAATATTGTTCTTTTTTTTCTTTATTTAAAGGGCTCCCCAAACTATAGACTAGACATTCCACTCAGCATGCACACTGTCTATTTGCTTGAAAAATTACAAGTTTGCATTCTTCAGGCTAATGTGTCACATAAGAAAGAAGTGAGTTATGAATGGAGCACAGGTCTTCCACCATACGCCACACATGCATTATATTCTTTACCTCAAGGAGCATAATCCCAGAAGAAGATGAGCTTGCTCACAACTTTTATTCGCCTTTATCAGCCTTTTCCCTGAAGGATTAGAATTGTCCTAGGCTCAGACATACACATTTCTGCACAGGTCCTATCCATTGAATCTGATGTAGAGCTTGCACTGTAACTCCATGAAAGCTGGGACCAGCAGATGGGGTCTTCTAAAGAGCATATACAGTTTCCAGGAGAATGTAAACCAGGGATATGGGCTGGTCTTCCCGTTTAACTTATTAATTGATGATCTAAACCCACTTAAGGATAAGCAGGCTATAGAGTCCTGCTCTATAGAAACGAAAGCAAGTATTCTCTACAGCACAGCTGCAGGATTTATCTGAAACTATGAGCCCACCAGCTGCTCCCAAACCACTGCCAGAAAGAAGGGCCACTGGCTTACTTTTCTAGAAACAAAGCCACCGTCTTTATTTCCCTGACTTAAAACTGGTGGATAAAAAAGTTCTCCCTTTGGTGACTTACTGATTCCTCAGCTTATCTTGGGAGCGACAGCAGGAAATAGCACTGTTGAGAGTTAGACCTGCTGTAGGTGTCTTAGGGAGATTCTGGCTCATGATGTATCTATTTCAATGCCTTTGGAAATCCCCAGGCTAAGTGGCCCCAGTCCTGTTAAATGGAACAGAACTTGGGAGAGTCTGCAGGCTGCTCCTCTAGGCACTAGAACAGAACAAAAGCGATATCTCATAAGAAATCCGCCACAACCTGAGCCAGTCTCAGATCAGGGCTGCTGTTGTCTCCTGGGGAACAGGTGTCACGACGGGCGCCTTGTATTTTGTAGAAATGTTGTTAACCTCCCTCAAACGACATCTTGTTGAATCTAAGTTTGGGCTTAACTAGCCAAGCAGGCATTTGCCAGGGAGCCCTAGGGTAAACTGTCTACCTCCCAATAGTTCCTGAAATATAGATGGGGGAGACAATACGTTAGGGGTTTCCTAGAAGAAATAGGCATTAAACCTGTTCACTCATGAGATGCACTGAAAGGATCCCAGGAAGCAGACGCATCAGCAGAGAGCTAGGGTATCGCCCTACCGTACTGCCCCCCCCCCATCAACCACATCCCCCAACTGCTTTTACACCAAGCATTATCACGTGGAACCAGCCTACGACACTCACTCGCGTGCCCTCAATAAGACCGCGAGGGAGGCTGCTTTCCTCCCAGCACACGCCTTTTTTTTTTTATGAGGACTCCTGGGAACAATTCCTGCCTGGCCTTGTGTGAACAACAGTTAGAATTTTCCCCAAGCAATAGGTTTGTGTTTATCTCACAGACATTGTGAACTGTCTATCTGACAAGTTTCCTTTATTCCGTTGGCAGCTCCGCTGCTGTGGCCTACGTAAGCAGCAGATGTGGGGGGAAAAAAACACCGCTGTCGCGTGATTACCAGTTCCTGCGAGTTCTTTTCCTCCTATCTGGCGCTGCCTCGCTTTTTAACTTAGACTATCTTGTCACGTTTTTACGTCCCATTGTGAGCCACCTGAAAAGCATTCTGCGAAGTAAGATTTGGTTTACAATGAAAAGTAGATAAATAAATACGATGGGGGAAAGCACCACACCATGTGTTTCCATGTATTTTCTCCAAAAGGAGATTACATTTTGCTTTAACATCCTTCCAGTGATAGGTCCCAGGCTCGGGGCACGCGGCTCAGATCGGCAGCAGGAACAATCGTAAAAAACATTGGGAAACTCAAATAAAGGTACTGAAAGCACTGTGATTGTCCTGTCTCGTTCTCGTGACTCAACGGAGGCAATGCCATTGAAAGGACAAAGTTTCCTGGGAGACTGACACCCTGTAATACTAATTATAATGAAGAGAATACAGAACACTGCTTAATACTTGAGTGACATATGGAAGTTTGCTGTGCTCTCTTATGGCCTGTGGGCAGCCAGCCCCAGGAAGCAGGAAAGGCAGGCATTACTGTTATTTTCCTTCTACTGCCCTGCGAAGGAGCAAGGGAGAACAGCCAGCCCCGGATGTGACCTCTCTGCCCCAGGGATTTTCCAATGGCTGCAAATGGGCTCGAACGCAAGAAGAGAAGTAATCCGCGGAACTCCCATCACAATGTGCTGGGTTTGGATCAGAAACCAAAATCCAAACTATGTCAGTCCGAAGAAATAATAGAGATCTTCTAACAGATGAAGGTGGGGGTGACTGGAGTCAGCTTCTTTCAGGCAATATTCCTGTTTCCTTGAACCAGATGACATCAGTCTAGAGCTATGCTCTCCAGTAGGACTTTCTTCAATGTCAGAAATAGTCTCTATCTGCATTTGTCCAGCACAGTAGCTACTAGATGTGTGTGCGACCAGGCACCTGAGTCGGAATTTTATTTTAATTAATTTAAATAGAGTAAGTTTATCAGGCTGCAGGATACAAAAAAAAATCAATGTATGAAAGTCAAGTGTATTTCTATATACTCGTACTAATGAGAAATCAGAAATTGACATTTTTACATGCCTTTTATAATAGCATCAAAAATAGGAGATACTTAGGGATAAGTCTAACAAAAGATGTGCGAGATCTGTACTGAAAATTACAAAACCTTGCTGAGTAAAATTACTGACGATCTTAAATAAGTGAAGAAATATACCATGTCACGGTCAGCAGGCTTGTTATTGCTAAGATGTCAGTTTTCCCCAAAGTGATCTATAGATTCAATACCATCAGTCCCCATCAAAATCCCACAGGCTTTTTTTTGTAGAAATTGATAAAGTGATTTTAAAAGTTATACGGAAACGCAAATGTACCCAGAATCTAAAATATCCACTTTGCCTTCACCCTGGGAATCGGGGCTTAAAGGACAAGGTTTGTTGGACAGCAGTTTGGAAAGGTCTAGTTCTGGCACTTTTATGTTTGTGGCCATTTGTAAAATGGGTATACTGATGCCTACATCACAGAATTAGAATTAAGATTTAATAAGATCATGGAGGCAGAGCATCATCCAAGGAGCAGAGGTACTTCAAAAATATGCCTTCCCCTTATCCACCAAGCCCTTCATCACAGCACACTCTTCCGTCCCTTACCAAGGCAGGTGTGACACGAGGCCTCTCCCATCCTTACCTGGAGCCAGAGCTTGTCATGCTGAGACCACTTCCCGCCAGCAATGCACTGAAACGTGGCATTCTGCCCCACGTTCACCTCGACGTTTTGGAGCCGCAGAAAGTGAGGTGCTTTTCCTAAGAGAAAAAACCAAAGAGCACATGAGGACAGAATTCGACAGCCTGAACCACTTCCCTGGGGGCACGTAGCAGCTCAGGAGGGGCACTGGGCTCGGGGGAATTTGTGCCTGGGAAGTGGCCTGGCTCGGTGAAGAGCTACTGTTGACGGATCACTTACTATGAGCCTGGTACTCACCTAAGAGCTTTCCCTGCATCCTCCTGCCTGAACCTCACAGAAATCCATGAGGCGAAGAGTATCTCCATTTCACAGATCAGAACATTAAGGCTCTGAGCGGTGATAGAGTTTAGCATGGACAGGCAGCCAGAAAGTGGGGGAGTCAAGACATGAATCCAGGTCTCTGGGAACCTCAAAATCCATATTATTAGCTGCTGGGCAATACTGCCATGTTTGGAAGAAGAAATCCAGGGCCATAGGGCGTTCACCATGGAAGAGTGAGCAGGAAGAAGAAAGCTGAGGTGAGGCACCTTTGGGCCTGAGACCTTCACGCCTGGCCTCGGTAATGAAGCTGATGATGAGGGTGGAAGGGGGAGAAAGTGGAGGAGAACAAAGCTTTCATTCATTTCATGCGAACTGTGTGGTTGGTGTCATATGCAGCGTCTACAGAGTGATGGATTTAACTCAATGCAGATGTTGGTGGTAGTATCTGTATTTCACAATGGGTGACCTGAGGCACAGAAAATTCAAGAAACGTTCAGTCTACACTTTTCACTCGGAGCTATGGTTTCTCCTAACGATGGGAGGGAGGTGGGACATGGACTCTGGGGACTTGGCATAATAGAAGGACTTTCAAATGAAAGTCCAAGTGTCCATAAACAAGCAATTCTAGAATTAAAAGTATGTTTTATGTTGGGCAATCTGGGTTCATTTCTTTCCTCATTTGTGGAGACAGGTCCTCACCCACGTGCGCTCTTCAGAGATGAGTGGGTTGACAGCCTATCTCTAGAATAATGCATTTCTTCATTGGGGCTCAAAAGTGTCAAGGGTCCCTATCACATCAACCAAATGAGTGACGACCTGGGCTTGAACGACCCCAGAATGGGGGCAAATGGCGGGTTGTTTAGAGAATCAAGGAAGTTCAACAAGGGCCTTGGGCCAACTTTCCAGAGGGAGTCAAATATCCAGAAAGATAAATAATAACAATAATGTCATCTATTGAAAGCTCCTACAATGCCAGGCACTGTGGTACATGCTTTAGATATTTTTATCTAATTTCACTCCATAACATTCCTCTAAAGCAGACACTACTATTATTTCTCTTTTAGAGAAGCAGTAACCAAGGCTCACCAAGTTTAATTTGCGCAAAGCTACAATGCAGTAATGCCAGGAATAGAGTTCAGAGCAGGTCCACGTCAGCCCCCACTAGCACATCCTCTTGCTTTCTGGACACTGGAAGGTCAATGGTATCACCTGGACCCCAAGATCCAAAGACAAGGCTCGCAGGCAGGGCTCTGCTGACTCTCCAAGCTCCCTCATTGCTTCCCAATATTTTATCACAAGTGATCCCTTTCCTGGCCATTTGTCCCCATGGCCTTCACCCTCCAAAGTGTCTGGTCTACCGAACCATGTCACCATCCATAAATTTCAGCAAAAGCCCAGAACCTTGGCATGATTAGGCAGACCCACCGTGCAAAAACGTGCACCTTCTAGTCAGGTTTCTAAACAAATAACTACAGCTCAGAGACCTCCCCTCTCATGCTACCATCAGGACCTCACAGCTCGGGTGGCATCCATAGTCCAAAGCCCAGGGAAGAGCTCTCCTCGTGGGAGACTCTCAGCATTGAAGATTCTTTGCATCCAGTCAACCTGACAAATGTCAAGCTGCTTTGATTGTCTGAAATTGTTTCCTTTTTGCTCTCCTGTATAATTTGTAAAGTTATTTTTGGAACTATCAGTTCAAGTCAATTCTTCAAGTGGGAATATTGTGAACCTTGCAAGCCCGTTTATGCCACAGGTGTAAAGGGGGAAGAACTATCTACTCCATGCAGGGAGGGAGCATAGAGTCTTAGCTGCAATGTTGGGAGGTTTAGTGTTGGATTTTTACAAAGGAACATCTCCCCTTACCCTTGGGGGACACTGGGCAAATGGCTTAACCTCTGGGATTTATGCAGTTAAAAATGGATCTTACTTGGATCGATGGTCCTTGCTTTCCTCTGAGCCTTCCCATCCCTTCTCCTTCTCAACAACAGACATTTTGACTTGATTCTTTTATCTTCAATCCCTCTTCCTCTCTCCCTTCTAGGTTCAGTGGTAGAGAATTTAGAGGCTTAATGGCCCCTGGTGTTAATTAATATTCATCAGTATGAAAGAAACGCTGATGGTCTCTGCTTTTTGAGCCCTGGTCTCATCTCCAGCTCATGACAGATCTCTCTCCCTGGATACCCTCCTTAGGTTGGGGACCTGTTTGGTCCATTCTCTGAGCTACCGGCCTCGCTGATCCTCCTCCCATCCCCCCAACTCCAGTCCACTCCTGAGCCCTGCGCTTTCTGAACTGTTATTTCCTCCCAGCATCTACAGCTCTGGGAAAGAAATTAACGACCCCAGCTTCAACTCACCACCCTTCAGCCAAACACAGTTGACCTTGAGGCCCAGACCAGCCACCAGCTCTCCACTGAAAGCCAGCACCCCAAAAATGGGATCCCGCTAAATGGAGCTAACAGAAAACTGCTGTGCATTTGGGGCAAAATGTCTTGAGGTTGGTGACATTTAAACTCCTGCAGATGTCACTGCAGCATCTGAAGACATATTATTGTGCCCTTTATCTCGCTCTTTAAACTTGACAGCGCTCAGTAGGAAGCCACACAATTGAGGAGAAAGCACAGTACATACATTAGAAACATGTTGCAGACGCTCCATGGGTTCAGTGACATAGCCCCACAAGGTTGTGATGAAAAAGAAAAAAAATTTTTTTTTTAAATTCTAAAAGTCAACTTAGATGCTAGAAACTTTGAAGCCGAGTGAAAAATGAGGCTGACATTTCTCGTACACGGTTATAACTGCAGTGGCCCTGCTAATAGCTCATACAAAGAAACAACAGTGGAGGGTCACTATGGCTAAAATACTTTCAGGGTAACACAAAAATGTTAAATGGGCTATAAAATATAGTCGAGAGGTTTCCGTTTGTAAGAGAAAATAATTCCTTGGAGTACTAAGCCTATCTTTTGGTCACTGTTTTGGAAGCTGCCAGGCAAGCTTTTAAAGCTCCAACTTCAGTTCAAATGGATCGAGACTACAATTGCAAATCAGGCATGAACCGCCCCCCCTGGAACTTTTGGAAGATCTAGTGGAATCACTTATTGATAAACACTGACCATATGCGAATAGAAAAAAAAAACGGTTTGGAGGACAGAAGTGGAGAATTAAAAAGCCCAAGGACATAAAGAGGATGCATATGTCTCAATATAGTTAATTTTTTAACAATCCCTGAGTGAAATCACAAATTCATTAATACTGAGGCTGGGGTTTGGGAAAAAGCACTGTGAGTCCAAAGGACAGTTTGGAAGTCACTAGCAGGTTTCATGATCCCATGAGCATCCCCCAGGACCCATGCACAGTCAGCACCTCGGAAGGAAGCGTTTGTACTCAACTCTTCCCACATTCGTATCACCTCAGCTTACCCTACCCAGTAGCTTAGGCCAGAAACCTGGGAGGGCACCATTTTTAATACCTCTGGCTCCCACTCTAACCCATCACATAGAACCAGGTGAATCCACCTCCTAAATTTATCTCCAATCTGCCCACCTCTCTCCATCTCTGTTCTATGTTTTCTCACAGCACAGCTCACCATCTGTTACGTGTAGCCTTAAACTTCATACGTTAAAGCCCTAATGCTCAATAGCTCAGGCTGTGATTAAACGTGATGGGGCCTTTAAGGGAGTAATGAAGTTAAAATAAGGCCATTAGGATGGGCCCTAGTCCAATCTGACTGGTGTCGTCATGAGAAGAGAAAATTTGGACACACAAAGACACATCAGGGTCACGCGTGCATACAGGAAAGACCCTGCGAGGACAAAGAGAGGAGGCGGCCATCTACAAGCCAAGGAGGGAGGCCGTGGAAGAAAGCAAGCCTGCCATCTTTACCTTGGACATCTGGCCTCCAGAACCACGAAGAAATACATTCCTGTTTGAGGCCCCCAGACTGTGGTATTTTGTTATGACAGCCTTAGCAAACTAATATACCACCTGTTACAAGACATATAAGTACCCGATTATGTGTTTAGTTTTCAGCCTCTTTCACTCCAGTAGAAGCACATGAAAGCTGAGAATGAATCTGTCTTACTCCCATAAACCCAGAACAGTGCCTGGCAAGAGTTCCTGCTCTGTGGACACTGGATGAATGACGAATGGACGCCACTCCACCACCCTGCCTCCAGGCCACCCTGATCTCTTCCATGACTCCAGAACTTTCTTCCTGATAGACCTCCTGACTTCTTCTCTATTCCCTTTCAACTCATTCTCTGCAGAGCAGCCAAAGTGATCTTTTAGCAATTAAATGAGATCATGTCGCTCTTGGGCCGGCTGAGTGGCTCGGTTGGTTAAGAGCTTGCTCAAGAGTTTGAGCTCTGAGCAACAGCAGTTCGAGTACCGGCCCGAGCTGAGCTGCCGCTGAGCTGCCAACAGGTGGCAGGATGGCTCAGCTTAAAAAAAAAGAAAAAAAGATAATGTAGCTCTCCAGCATAAATCCCTCCAGTGCCCCTCCCCACCACACACACACACACTTAGATTAAAATCTAAATGGCTCATGATGGCTCTCAGGGCCCCAGCTTTACTCCCCACCCAGTGTTCGCTCAGACCATTGTCCCTGCATCCCTGATGCCCAGGACAGTCGCACCATCAAGCTGATTCCCACTGCAAGGCCTCAGCACTCGCTGCTTCCCCTGCCTAGGATGCCACCTCCCCCAGGACACCCCCAGAACACTGTGCACTAAACTCCTTCCTATGACTCGGGCATCAGCTCAGATCACATCTTCAAAGACACGTCCCCTGACCACTTTATCTAAGGAGCCTGCCCATATCCCAGTCACTCACATTTATTATATTCATAGCACTTATCACTATCTGACGTTACATTAGTGACTTATTTAATATTACTTACTGAGTGTCTTTCCTCCCTCTGGCCCTCGGTAAAGTACACCCCATGGAAACAAGGACCTAACCTATCTTGGTCCCCGTGTCCAGCAGGAGTTCTTGACACAGAGCTGATGCTCCAAATCCATTTGTTGAGAGAAAGGATGGATAAACATCAGGACTAGACGTGGACAGAGCAGGGATCCTTGGGAAGGGGCCTTTGCTGGGCCCCGCGTGACTCCACATGACTCATGAGCTGCAGACAGACCTCTGAGGACTGTATGCACTGCCGGTATCTGCACAGACAGCCCAATGGAATTTTTCCAATTCCAGCCACCATCCAGGGTCCTCCCATTTTGATTCCTGGGAAGTTTAAACTTAAGCCTTTGAAGCATCGAGGCTGAACTCATCCGAAGCACATTATGCAGGAGCCCAGCCAGGTCACACACTCCCGAGTTATAGCCCATGGCCCATTTGCTGGGTAACGGGCTCTCAGAGATTCCACAACCATGTAATGCACACTTCTCAGCAGGGGGAATACAGGGCTGTCAGGAGAATCCTAAATTCAGAAGCAGCCCGGATGATAGGAGGTGTCCAAGAGGATCCGGGGGACTTTGGGGGTGGGAAGGCATCCCCATGCCCTCTAAAGGACACTCTCCCCAGGAGATTTCTCAAAGAGAAGGAAACACGTAGCTGCAATGGCAAACCACGGACAGTGCTTGGAGTCAAGGCAGAGCTGTTACCTTGAAGGTGGTTGAGGCTGGGACAACAGACAGGTGTGAGGTTGAGCCTCATGGTAGAAGCAAAACTTCTCATTGGAGCACAGAGTTTTCTGGGGTCCTGGGAGAGAGAGCCAAGCCAGGATGTCCCGGGAAAAGGCCAACATCAGCCACTAGAATGAGCAAGGGCAAGCATCAAGCTCAGGGGGAGCAGGAACGTGGCTGGACGCAAAAAAGGTGAGCGTCCTTTCTGAAGGCGGGATGTGTGTAGAGCTAGGGGAAGACTGAGACTTGTTTCAGAGAGATGGCCTCAAAACCGAGGGCTGTGCAGGGTAGAGTGTGTGAGTATACGTGGACATCAGGGAGAGCAAACGTCTCCCAACACCACTGCCCAGTCTGAGGTCAAAGGTCATTCTCTAATGGGCAGCTGATGCTGATTCCCAGGAACTGGGAAGTCCTAATCCTGGTAAAGACCTAATCCTGGAGAGGAAGACCAGGTGAGGGTGGGGAAGACCTAATCCTGGTGAGCAGGACTCGTGTGCATGCAGATCCACTACCCAAACCCTGAATAACGGGGTCGGGGGGCATTTCTAGGACCCTTGTCACATGAGGTCTGCTTCAGCAGAGACATTTTCCAGGCATGATTGAATGGACAGACCCATTTGAGAAAATCCCAAAGATTCCAGAAGTAACTCAGAGGGTAGGAACCTTAAGCCACAAAGAGTAATGGAGAACCTAGCAGAATCTCATTCCTGGGATGCTGGTGGATTTCTGGAATGGAGGGTTCTCTTGTACAGACACCAAACACACTTATCTCAAGCACTGTCTTGCCAAAACCCCTTAGAACTTGTCCCATTTTCCTCCAGAGAAGGTACTCTAAGACAATGAGTCCAACTATGGCGTTCTGGTGCCAGGGGAAGGAAGTGATGCTCAAAGCTCTGACAAATTCATGGACGCGGAAGTGGGAAGTGTCAGTTCAGTTAAAGCCATATGGATTGGACGGAAATGAGAATAGCCCCCAAATGGGAGGATTCAAAGGCATATAAGGACAGGGCACATGCCGTCTCTTGAGGGACCGCAAACTGCACCATAGCCAATAGCATGACTCATGACTAGAAGGAGGGAGTGGACAGACCCCTGGTAGGAGTTGCCTGCAACCCGATGGTTGCCAAGAAACTAACGAGGCTCTCCCATCTGCAGAACACTAATAAACTAATGGGGCCGGCACTCAACTACCCCTCCTAGGAGCTACCATAATCACCATGCACATCCCTTTGATTAGCACCCCCCCACCCAATGTCACTAGATATGGTGCCATCTCAACAACCTGCACCCAGGACTTGTCCCATCTGAGATTTGGTGAGCCTGGGAACCACCGCTCGTTGCTCAAACACATTCAAATATCTTAGATAAAATACAGCACAGAGAGAGAACTTCAAGGGGAAATTGGACAGGCAAGGAGGAGTGGTGTGCCTGAGGACTCTTGACACTGTACCATAAGTACGAACCGCTGTGAGACATCTCTCCCTACGCCTACATGGAGCTGATGAGTGTATTTAAAATTACTTTGAAAAAATTAATAGCTCTGGGGTACTTTTTCCAGTGAGTGAACAGTGTGCTAATTTGCTCAGTGTTTTGGTGTTGTTCTCTTTTTAAGACAATTGCACAAGATTCTAACCAAAGCCCTCTAATTCTTCCACTTCAGTGGCCTGAATCCCACTAATAAACAATCAGGACTTTAGACTCCTTTAATAATGGAGAGAGATTCATAGGAAGATGTGTTGCCACTCTCTGCAAATTCCTCTAGGTGCTTCCTGTTGACCAGGCCGGCAAAATTTTGGATTTATTCAGGACTGATTGCACCGAGCATGCAAGCACTTTCCAAGGGTTAAAACAACTGAGAGAGTGAGAGATGTTTGTGAGCTGAATGAACAGGGGGGGACTGCAGCCTCCAAGCTACCCTGTCTGGCATGGAGTAAGGCTGTGTGAGGGGGAGGGAACAGACTTACTGCATGGATGAGCGAGGACCCGGACCTCGTCCACAGCGATGTAGCCAGGATGACCTTTCAAAGAGACGGATTCAAATATCACCTGCAACACACAGGGTGGGAGTCAATTTCACAGATGTGGTTGTAGGCACCCATTATAGGACTCTGCCCAGCTCCAAAACCCTTTATGTTTCTGCTTCCCATCAGCACCACCCAAAGAGGCCTTCTATTAGGCTAGGATGCTATCCTGGCAATCGACTTGGATTTTCAAAACAAGGCAGAAAGGTCACACTCTGGTGACTAGCAAAAAGGAGAATCAGCCACATGGAACATTTTTAATGGATTTCAGAAATCACGCTTGGATGCAGGAAAAACAACCCAATCATGGCCTGGAGACCCCAATATGCACCTTCCTCATTGTTTCAAGTGAAGCGCAGAGTGGAATAACTTCCTAATATTCCAACTTTCTTGTGAAACGTGCAGGAGAAGCTTACCTTGGAAGCTACCATAAGCCAAGGAGGGTTTATCCTGATTTAATTCTACATCCCCCAAGGAACGTATTCCATCTCAATTTCTTAATAACGCCTCTTGAAAATAAGCTCCATGCACAACTATTGGTATCTGGGAATCCAAGGGCAACAAATTGTTTTAATTCTCCATTCTGACTCCCACCCAAACTGCTATTTCAGTAAAGGTTTGATGACTCGGTTAACCGCTTTCTCTGTCACTCAACCTCTACTTTCTACTTTCTAGGAGGTGTTACTATCTGGGTAGACATGACCAATGTCTTAACCTCTCTAATTCTAATGGCCTTATCTTCCACTCAGCTCCAGCCACATACTCATACTTGTTCTTTTCCACTCCCAAAAGTGGAAATCCCACCTTCCTATATTTTGACACAGCCTCCAAACCCACATTCCTCTCCCAATGCACTCCTCTTAAACCTGCTCCTCAGGCTCACCCGGTACCCTGAACCTCAAATTTTCTAGAGTCTATACATCTTCCTTGGCCTCCCTGTATTCTCAACAAGCCTGGGGTGCCCCCTCCATCATGACTAATGGCCCATACCATTCTCTCCTAAAGCCTCAATTCCTCTGCACACTCTTTTTAACTTTGGCAACTGCCTCCTCCACTCCTGTGCCCCACACAAATGTTCCCCTTTCAACATCACCTACCCAGGCCCAGCAGATACCCATGTCACATCTTCAAGAAGCAAGAGGACAAGAGGAGGACTAACTTCTAACTTCTTACCCGTCAACCTCATCTACATAGATTAGATCCCTACACAAAACCTCCTCCTCTGTGCAAGACATGTTGGCACTCTTGACCCCCACCTCGACTGCATTTTCCAGCTTCTTAGTTCTTCTCGGTTCTCTCTCTTCATGGTGCATCTGCAAAGCCTTCCTTTGATCTCTGGCTTTGACCTACATGAATGCTTGGACTCCACTTACTCTTTAAAAGCCACCCTTGGATAGCAGGTTTGTCTCCACTCCAGTCCAGTTGTGTTTCAACCACATTTAAAATTCTCAAGTTTTGTCTACACTCACTCTCAATGCTTCCTTACTTCCCACTACAGAACGTGAACCCATCATCATCTGGACTCTGTCCCCAACACAGCTCCCCTCCCCCACAAACTGCTTTCATGGCAGACACCAATAACCTCTTAATTGTTAAACCCAATATACATACTTCATCTTTATCTTAGTTTAAGAAGGAAGAGAGTGTAGTTTGGGCTCTGGGTCAGAATGCCTGGGTTCCAGTCCTGGCTGTACCACTTACAAACTAGTGTGTGACCTTGGGCAAGCGACCTTACTGCTCTGTGCCTCAGTTTCCTCATCTGTGATAACAATGTCTACCTCAGTGGGTCAATTTTCAGATTAAAGAATTTATTACACTACTGAGAACAATGTGTGGCTCATGGTAGGATCTCAGTAAATGTTTGCTATAGTCATTATTAATACTTGACCATTATTTTACAATTATCCACGCTGAGAGCATCTCCCTTTATGAGTCTGTCTTCTATTTAGGCTCAGGTGTACCTCACTCTCATGGCTTTTCTCATAAACCTGGGACTATTCTACCATAGATTTGTTTGGAAGTACGTCTCCTCCTACATGTGGCCTTCAAATGCCGGCCTCCTCTACCCATTTTTTTCTTTTGTTTTATTTGCACACCTTCTTCCTTACATGGCTGCCAGTTCACTGATAATCCCCAAACCCAGCTCTCCACTCCCCTGGACTTGTCACCTGAACACCCGTCTCACTTATCCAGCTGACAGGTGTGAATTGTCCACTTAGATATCACCTAAATTCTCAAACGTCATGTGTATATGACAGAGTTGAGTGGCTTTCCTTTCAAACTATCTCCCTCACTGCCCAATGGGCCATCTGTCCTGAAATATGGACCTCGGTGAATTGCACTATGACCCACCGGGTCATTGGAGATTGGGATTTGGGAATTTGTCTGGGTTTCTCCTTCTGCCTTGCTCCTCACATTTATTTTCTTTTTGATTCTATCTTCTTAGTATTTCTCAAATCTGCCCACGTCTTTCCATCTCGGCCATTATGTGGAGCCATAAGGAGCAGCCATTTTGTAGGTCCAAACCCGATGGACATCAGCGCCACACTGCTCTGGTTCAAATCTTCATTGCTTTTTGTCTCTAACACTTCAACAGCCTACAACATGGACACTCTCCCTCCTGTCTTTTACTCCTCAGTTCAAGCCTGTGGATGGAATGTCAGGTGGGTGATGAAACCAACAGGAGAACCTCCGTGTGGAATCTTTGTGATACGTGTGGTCACTCCAGATTAGTGGATTCAGAGGCCAGTGGTCTCCTCAGTGGAGCCCAGAGCCCTAACAGCCATAACACGCGAGCAGGGGGCTGTTGGAGCAGGTGGTGAAGGCTTTGAAGAGGCAGCTTCCTTGGGTAGTCAGATCTATCTCAAAGGCAATACATGGCTGCCTGGGAATTATGTCAAGTGACTGGGGGATGACACACCAAACATTAAAGCAGCTCGCACCAGCATGACAACCACTTTGTAAGAGGGGTTTACTAAGATAGCAGGGTCCTTCTGAGGGTGTTAACAAACAAAATTGTATGAGAAATAGGGGGAAAGTTGACAGAAATAAAAGTGTGATAGCTGCCTGATCCTGCACAGGCGATAGTCAACAAAAGACCTTTCTATAAAGAATCACATGTCTAATTATATTTTTACTAATTCAAAGGAAACCAAAAGCAAAGTCCATAAAGGAAAAAAGAAAATACGTTTTATAAGAAATAGCATAAAAGCATTCCAATTGTATAATAAAAACAACAAAAGTAAGAGAAAATACTTGTGACAATAAGTATAAATAGGTTAAAATAGGGAACGCGCTCAGACTGTTTAAATAGACAAAGCCTAATTGTACACTATAAAATAAACACCTAAAACAGAATGACTCAGTAACCTTAAGAATAACAAGTGGAACAAAGGGAAATAATAGGGAAATGCAAATAAACAGAAAACGGTTGTTACAAAAATAATGTTAACGCATCAAAGTAGAATTTAAACCAAACGAAAAATAGAAACCATTAAGTGGGCTAAAATGGTCATTTTTTTTAAATGCAGGAGTTGATAGATTTAAAAGGAGAAAATGATGGGAAAAAAACCAGTAGTTATACCTTAAATAAAACCCATTTATATTTATTTAACCCATGTTTTAGATTCTAACCAAACAGGGAAAAAAATACATCTATCAAGTATATACATAAGTTAAATAATAATGCAATTACTAAACATGTTAATGAATATGAAGAACGAAATTTCTGTTCAAATGCTCATGCATTATTTACACAAAGATCATATAATAGGCTAATTTCAATAAATTCCTCAAAGAAGAAACTGTATAGGTTTAGGTCTGTACATTTTCTAACCAAATCAGTAAGGATAGAAATTAATGACAAAAGCTTAAAAATCAATTTCTGAATTGAAATATTATGTATTTCTCAAATATATAGTACTTCCTTAATAATTATAATGTCAAAGTATGTTTTGTATGTTAACAAAAGTTTGAAACAAAATCAAAAGTCAAATGGCAAAGTTGAGAACAATATCTGTTAATACCTAGGCCAGCAAAAAGGTAAACAACCTGTTTTGCATATAGAATTCTTGAGACTTAGCAAAATAAATAAACTCTCCAAAAGAAAAATTGGCAAGTGACCTCAGCAGGCAATTCAAAACAGATGAAGTAGGGATGATAATAATCTATGAATGCAATTTTTTTAAATGACTCTAGGGAGATTACGGTAGATGAGCATTTTCTTCTTTATACTTTTCTGGATTTTCCAAGTTCTCTGGAGTAAAAACAAGCTATTTTATATTTACAATAAAAATTAAATGCTTTATAGTGCATCTTCATATCTCCCTTGATATCATCACTACATCATGTACCACTGGATAATTAGAGTCACTACAGCACCTGTCACACCACATTGCAATTGCTTGTTCATGAGTCATATTATTCCCTAAACACTAAACCCACCCATTGGGAATAAAAACAGTGTCTTCGTCCATTCATTCATTCATTCATTCATTCGCTCACTCACTTATTCATCCAGCATTTAAAGAGACCCTCCTCTGTATCAAACTTGAAACACGTGCTAGGGTAATAAAAGTGAAAAAGACAATTAAGGTCCTAGTTCTGATGAACTTCACACTCTAGTGAATGGGAATGGAAATTAAACAAATATGTCAAATTAAACTCATTTTGTGATTGGCATAATGAAGGAAATTAACAGGATGCTGTGATGAAGAGTAGCTAAGAAGAGGGTCTATTTTACTTAGGGTGACCTGGAGAGAACCTTAAGGAGGTGCTCATTAAGATGAGACCAGAAGGATGAAAGTAGCCAGTCAAAGAAGAGGTGGAGGCGAATGCAAAGGCCATGAGGCAGGTAAGAGCTCAGAGACAATCTGGGAACACAAGAAGGAGGCTGGGAAATAGTGAGTGAGCTAGAGAGGCACAGTGCAAGCCTGGGGTGTTGGGGAGTCAGGTGACGTGGGGTCTTACAAAGTATAATAGGGAGCTAGAATTTTCTTCTAAGACCCGGAAAGATTAAAAGCAGGG